AACAACATTTAACTAGCTCAGTATAATTTTTATGATTTGAAAATAAAAAAAAATTATATATTTTGAAATACATTTACATAAATTAAACTTTCTAAGTTAATTTTTAAGAAAAAATAAAAATATTCAATAGTTTAAGACTAATTTATTATGTGATTCAAGATTTATTTGATATTATTTTTATAATAATATGTATATATACTCGATATCCTTTTAAACCGAGATCTCCCCATTCTCCAATAGATCCTTTTTCTCCTTTTGTTCCAGGTGGACCATCCGGACCTAAAATTGAAACATAAATTGATTATAAGCCACTGTATATATATTCGATTACATTTATGGTAGTTAAATTTTAAATATTAATTATATATTTTTCTTTATTAAGAGCACGCTACACCCGAATGTATTGTCTCCGTCTTAAAAGTGCATAACATAGGTAGATACCAAATTTACGATCAGCAGATCACGATTAGCTCTGTTAGACTAAAAATTAGACCTATTATGAAACTTCATGGTAAAAACATTATCTATGCTCGTATGTTGGTTCTATACGATAGTTCAACTTTTTAGCAAGTTCTATGTATATAATATAGAGTAAATTAAAAATGCTCATAACTCACTTAAAAACTGAATAATCGTAATTTTCATCACAAGATACTCCTTAAAGAGATTAAAAAAAATAAGTATTTAAGTACCTATACAGTATACTTGAAAATTTCCATAATCATATTTTGATTAACCTATATACAATTGTGTAGTACTACCTGGTAACATAAATAGGTATATAATATTTTTTCTTCGTGCTGGAAATTGGAATGTATCTTATCGTATTATGTATTCATTTTTTACATGATTTTCCTATTATAATATTGACTTGGTTATGTATTTTTGAATACAAGATACAAATATTATTACGTAAATACCAAACACTAAGTTATAGATATAACTATTATTTTAATATCAAACCTGTTTCTCCTGGAGGTCCTTCTGAACCTTGTTGTCCAAAAATACCCTTGTCACCAGGTTCTCCGACAATTCCTTTACAGTCACATTTAAATGGATTGGTGCATCCTCTACAAGCCTAAGTAAAATAATCAAACATTTCAAATTAATATTTGTTGAATATAACTTGTAATAAGCAGAGTTAAACGATTAAAATATGGACTTATATAATATGCTCATATACACATAAAATAATACGTTTTTAGACATTTACATTCATAAAACATAATAATAAATAATAATAATAATCACAAAAATACTACCTATCAAAACAAATTAATTCATAAAACTGCTATTAATATAATAAATAAATATTATAACTTATCACAAAAAAATCATGACGATAACCATAGAATATAGATATTATAATATAATATCTAAAAGATATATTTTATAAATAGGCATATAATATATATTAATCTTATTGGGTACTGAGAATATTTTGTGTTACTAATATAGAGTTGTTTTTTTTTTAAGAGGACGCAAAGCCGATATAATAATTTTGTCTCTGTCTTACTTATAGGTACCAACCTACAAAAGGATAATTAACAGGATATACATTTTATCATCATCAAACATAAAGGTAAAATTTTAAAAACATTATCTGTGTTTGTGTACGTTTGTTTTTATGATATATTTTTTAATTTTTAAGCGTTATGAACACTTTTATGTCGTAATATTTTACACACCTAGATAGGTACCTACTCATAAATATCTACTCATAAATTTGGTCTGCTGACGCGAGCTTCTGGTCTAATCGAGACATTGAGTGCAATATGTGATAGGTCGTAGGTACCTAGTGCAGTAGTGCATCTATGAATTATGATTTGTATTTATGAATGTCATGATTCTGAATTTGTATTGTATTTTATTCGTACGTAATTTATTATTTTATTTTAATAATATATAAAAATGATTTTAATACATTTAATATGAGATATTATACATGGATGCTATAGACATAGGTATTAGTACAATTTGGAACCCAATAAGCATAAACAATTGAAGTTTGTCAAGGTTATTGTGCTAAAAAAAAAATCATAATTTTAAATAAAAAATAAATTAAATACATAAATACGTTTTCTTCAAGAATACCCATGTGAAATTAATGAGAATTATTTTGGAAGAGCTGATTCATACATGATAAGTAAATACCGGATTTTGTATAACATTCATCTCGCTATTTTTTACATAGTATAGGTGCATGCAATCAATGAAGCCTCCGTAAATTATTAATTGATTGATTAAATACCTAATAAAAGTGTATTTTGTGTATTTTTGCATATTTGGTCACTAAAAATAGATCACTATAGAGGTGAGTAATAAAAGTACAAAAATACGCCTAAATTTTTCTTGCATATTTTTTTAGTGCATGTTTACAACTAAACAATTATAAGTGAATATGATCAGGTCTTAACTGATAAAATATGCAAACTGAATCATAAAGATGAACAAATATTAAACTCTAGTATAATATTTGACCATAAGTATTTTTGAACTATTTTAATATGGGTTATTAAACATTGTTTAAATCTGGTCAATGAAATTTGATAAAACAATTGACATTAAGTCATAACTCATATAATAAATATGATATGACTATAGTACCTTACTCATTGCAGTAGCCATCGTTCACTCACACATGCATATATTATGTTAGAATTAGATTAATAACATATAAGTAAGTTATAACTTATAACTGTATAAGGAAGAACAAAATTAATCATTGGATATTTTCTCCAATAACATAAGACGTATTGTATGATCGTTCTTATCAAGTAACATTTTTAATACAATAATTATAATTTTTTTTTAGAACATACATTTTTTTATTAATTTTCATCAACTAACAAACTATAGTAAATAGTGATGGTTTTATAATTATCTAGTTGTAAGTTATAACGTAAGATAAATGGCAGCGTTGCAGCTATTACATTTTGTAAATAGGTACCTTAAACACAGTAATTTTTGTGCCCCACGACTAAAATGTATAATTTGTATAAAAATCACGAACTAAGAAAGTATGGGCCGGGATCTGTTTGTAGATTCTTTGCTAAATTAATAAACCCAACAGTTACTAACTTAAATAAACTAAATTTGATATGATTATACATTTTTGTTTAAAATAAAATAAGGTGTATTCAAATTATTGTGGCCCATGAACATTTTTTTATTTTTTGTTGGACCCTTGACATCAAAAAGGTTGCCGACCCCTGTTCTAAAGTGACTGAAAGCCTGATTTAAGTAATTCAGTTATTTGTTTCATAGGATACGTTAGTATATTAATTCAAAAGTAAATGTATTAAGCTAATTATATATATATATATATATATATTATGATCACAATTTGTAATTACGATTATTATTGTCTATCAAATTTGTAATCAATGCTGAAAATAATATAGAATTAAACGTTTTCCCTAAACAGGATAGGATGTAATATATGCATGGCTGGTATCTCTGCACGGACGTCCGGCCACTAGTTTCAAACGATAAGATTATAAATTTCTTAACCGTATACCGATCCAATAAAATTAGTTGACAACACCCGTTGTGAAATAAAGGCAATCGCAGCCTACGCTACTAGGATTTCCGGATGATAATCCAACTATTGTAAGGTCCTTTTTGAATGACAAGTGTTAAGTACTTCCGATATCCACGTGCCAAGGATGTTTAATTCAAATAAAAGTATACATAAGTTCTATAAATTTCATTTTTACACTTTTACGAATATTGAGCTACTAAATAAAAATAAAATATCGGTACCTACCACTGACGAGTTAAGTGTAATTTAGATTATTGTGTAAAATTGAGTAATTCAAACATAATATCGTTTACCTTCAAACTATTTCACACTAGTAAACAATATATTATAATAATAGGCACCTAGTTCATATGAATGCCTCTATAAATAGTTATAATAAGATTTATGTGTCAATGTGTCATATTATACTCTGATGACTATGATGTAGGCATATTTTGTGTGTATACAATTTAAGTACCATGTCTTAATGCCTTACACGAACTATTCACATAATAGACGTGTAATACGAATAAAAAGATTTTAGATATATTATAATTATATTTAATTCAAAACCAATAGTTAATTAATAAAGAGTAAAATAATAGGAAGGGCTCTCGCAAAAATATAATCCAGGGGGTGGCAAAGTCAAAAGTAAAAACCATATTATGCTATAATTGATGTAAACAAAATAGCGGGGACACCCTGGGGACGCTCTTGAGTAGGTACCAAATAGTATTTCATAAGGATTGAAAAACCTCGAAAAGTTATTTAGATCACTTCAGAATTATTGTTACTGTTGGTTTTTTATAGTTATTAATGAACAGTAATATTTAATAGATGATAAAAAAAAAATAATTCTTCTGTAGCCCAACTATATTAACATATAATATAAATGTCTAAATTAGGAACTGTTTGAAATTTTTTTAATGATCGTTCTATTAAATCCCTAAAATAGACTATAGTTATCACTGCAGGTCACAGAGTAAAACAAGTTCTCTCTAACTCTAAAATACTTCTATTCCACATTTCCACGACAACATTTTATAATCTAAATAATTTTTCTGTTGTTTTATTGATCAATACGTAGTAAACTATTTTTAATAATAATATATAGGTACTTGCTTCAAAATTGATATCAAATTTAAAAAAACCTACCTAATAAATTACATTATAGGTTTATATTATAATAAGTATATATTTGATCATAGGTAATACCTTACTTATAGGTAAGCTTAAAAATATGTATTTAAAGTGGGAAAGTGGGTTTCGCTCTGCTTTACAGTAGGTTACAAGTGGGTCAATGTATAATGGATTGTATTTAACTTGAATTCAATGATATAATATCATTGTATAAGAAAAACGATTCTGAGTGGAGACGGTTTGTCAGTCTGGATATTTTATATTGTTATTATTAATTTTAGACTATGAGTTGAATTAATATTATAATATTATTTTTTAGATTCTGAGTGGAACGATGAATGTATTGATTTTACAATGATGTGTGTTTTTTTTATTTTTTTTTTGTGTCTGACATCACCTTTTAGGACAGTAAACGTGCTTTTATTTTCTTCAACAGTATCTTTTTTGATAGGAAAGTGAATCTAGTTGGTACTTTGAAGATCAAAATTAAAATTTTTCCAGTAGTTTTCAAAAGCGCCGTGAAAAACAAAAGAAAAATTAAGGAAAAACGGAAATTTTTACGCTAAATCGATATTACACAAAATCGATTTTGGTTTTTGTTGTTACTCTAAAATAAATGAACGTATAAACATGAAAATTTCACTGATTCTTTATATTTTCATTTTCTATACATGATAAAATTTTCCAAATATTTTGAGTTATTTTGAGCTCTTTACGGACATTTTTAGTTTTTTTTCTATAAATATCAATAAATTTGTATTTGTTGGGTACAAAAGCTTAAAAATTTAATAGAAGGCTCCTAATATATTGTTTCAAAGACAGATGAAAAATATTAAAAATCTTTCGTCACATTTTTTTGTTATGAACATTTAAAGATCAAATATTGGCAAAATACGTAAAAATTATGAAAATATGCAAATCATTTCGAGTTGGATATTCATAAAAATTTTTCTTTTTAAATCTAAGATATGAAAATGTAATATAATATTCCTCATAAGGTTGTCGACCATTATCAAAAAAAAAAATGTCTACAAGAAACTCAAATTAAATTTTTATGAGCGTTTGAAATTCATATTTTTAAAACATTTGATATTCACTCGATTTCTCATGTAACGATTTTCTAATTTTGTTGTAATTCAAAAACGAATAACTGTAGATACATGAAAATTTCACTGCATGTTTATATTAGTATTTCTTATACACCATATAATAAATATTTTGTCTCTTTTTGAGCTGTTTACGGACATTTTCATTTTTCATTTTTTTTAGTTTTTTTTTCTATAAATATCAATAAAATTGTATTTATTGGGTAAAAAAGCGTGAAAATTTAATGCAAGGCTCCTGGTGTATTGTTACAATAGCTGTTGAAAAACAATGAAAATACATACGCACAATTTTTTTTTATAAGCATTTAA